ACACCTGCCCTGTAATCCTCCCAGGTTCCCCCTCCCTGCTACCACCCACTGTACGCTTCCTTTTTTATGTGTCACTTTGTCCAGAAGCTCCTTGTTCATCCACACAGGCCTGCAGCTGCTTTTTCCTCCTCACTGGGATGTATCGCTCCTGAGCTTGGAGGAGAAGGTCCTTGGATACTAGCCAGGTTCCCTGGGCCCCTCTTCCCAACAGAACTTATCCCATGTAACTCTGCTAGTTCCCTGAAGAGGCCAAAGTCTCCTCTCCTGAAGAAGTCCAGGGTAGCGAGCTTGCTGTGTACCCTCCTCGCCTCCGTAAGGATCTCATATGCCACCATTTCATTTTATCAGCTTTCTTGTTTCCAGATAATATTGCCAACTTCACTATTCTGCTTTAATTTTTCCTTTTTGTTTGGCTTGCAACTCTTTTTTTTTATCTTTGGAGAAATGCAGAAGGTAAGAAGTGGGTTGCTTTTTGCATTTTACAGTTCAGTTTACACACAAAATCATTCATTGCTAGACTGTATGTTTTTCACTGTTTTAAAAAAATCCACCTTTGTTGAAGAAGAGGGTTTAAAGCGTATGCAGGAGAAAGCGCATTCTTTCTGTCAACGTACCAGGAACAGTCGGGATATTCAGAATAAAGTTACGCTGTGCTATGATATAGAGGGAATTGTACCTGTTGGTATAGCATAGAAGAAATAAAGAGATTCATAAGGAGTAGCTTTAAGTCACAGCAATCTAAATTCCCAACAAACTCTTGTCTAGTTAACGGAGAGAAAATCCCAGAGGGCTAGTCATACTTCTGCTCTGTCAGCATCCTGGTCTGTCCTTGAGACCCTTGTCTTCGCTCCGCAGTCAGCCTACTTCTGGGTCAGTATGTGAACTGTATATTAGAATGCATTCCCAAAACTTCTGCTCCAAAAGTTTTTTTAGTTCAATTTAAGATAAAAAAGCCAGTTAAAAAAAAAAAAAAGAAATTACAGGTAAGGATTTTTTTAATGTTTCAGGATAAATATTTCAGTGCTAGAAACATTTTTGAGCAGGAAAAAAACAAAATAAACAGTCTTTAAAGAAAAGTAACTGTTTATTTTTCACTTAAGAAAATCTAAATAAGTAAAAAAATTCATCTACTTATGTGTTCCATATATTAGCAGTTACCTTTAACTGCTTAGTCAAAATCAACATTACCTCATACTGGAACAGATTTAACACTTCACAAGAGGCTAAGATGTTGATGTAATAATGCCACATTTAAAAAAAAATACTTCTCTGTTAAGACATTTTAAAGGTTGCAGTCTTAATTTCAAATATTTCTTTTCTTTAAACTCTTGGCAGATCATGTAGTGCTCTGTTTCGTGGCTCACTGTAACTAGACTTAAGAGTAGAACAGGCTGAGTTACTACGTGTTGGAGACTTGCCTTGCAACATGAGGGTCCAGCAAGGAACAAAGCCACGGATGCAAGGAAGCTGAAGCAGAATCACAGTCCCTTAGGGGCCCATGGGTGTTCTTATTGTTTGTATATACTAGATAAAACGGAAAGCATGGCAGTGTACAAATGAAAAACCTGGAGAAATCTGCTTCCTCGGTTATATCTGTATCTACTTCACCCTTTTCCTTTGTATTCTTTAAAGTTACAAGATTATGCTGAAAACTTATCAAAGTCTCAAGCAATTAAAAATTTAGATGCTTGAAAATTACCATCATTCTTAGAAGGTGAATTGCCTCATCTTCTTGAAACTTGTGACAAATGTATCAGTTCTCCCCATTTACTAGTACATATTTATTAAGAGCTATTTATAGTCAGTAGTTGGATTTAAAGATGGAGTGAATTGTGTACAGTATGTTACTCATTACTCCTAATGTCACTATAAATAAAGTGCATGTAAATATTCTTTTAACCTAAGCTGTATAAAATTTTCTCTGCATTCTATTTTCCTATGCCATGGCCCGTGCAGTTTTCCTGTTTATTTCCCTGAGTTTGTCACACTGTTGCTTATAAGCTGCGTATCCTTGTGACAGTCCATTCTGATACCTGGAAGTGCCATCGAAATGGCCCGTTTGTTAAACAGAGCTGCAGAAAGGTTTAAATAGCCGTGGTGTCCAAATGCACAAAAACATTTGCTCTCTACTACTGAAATTCATCTGACTTCAGAAAAATCCCATAAACTTTTTGTTCAAGCCAAGTTAATTATTATCCCACTCTTAGTTTTAAAAAATCCTAACTTCTAAAAGGTTCTGAAAATTGTATTGAGGCTGCATTATTAAGCTAATTATGTTATTCTTTAATATGAAAGTGTGTATGATATACTCAGTTGAAATGTCTACATTAAATGGTATGGGATGAGCCCTGCAGTTTCTAGGCACGTAGAAGTTTTGGGTTTAGAAATGACATTTTGCCTACTTAAAGGAATCCAGGACTGAGGCAATATAAAGTTAAATCAGTCTTCTGTCTCTTGCAGGAGAGGAAAATTGGAAATACAAGGAGCTGAAGAAGAGGGAAGAAAGCATGGACAGTAAGTTGTCTAATATACTTTAATTAGGCCTAATTCCACTAAAATACAGGTTTTCTTGTATTTTTAACCCTCAGTTAATTTACATCTGAAAAGGACTGATGTCCTGATCTTTGCATAAAGTTTGTGTAATATAGCCCAGACCAAGATAATTGATATTTTAGGACTTAGAGGACAGTCACAAATATTTAGAGCATCTTTCAAGGCTTTTCATCAAACCTTAAAGATCTTAGGAACACTGGTTTACTTTATGAAAGCAATGCTGATACTGATTTTTAAAATAAATTAGATAAAAGGTATAGCCAGCTGTTCAGATCTGATTAAAAGCAGAACTTAAAAATGGACAAGTGTGGACATCACATAATTCTTTAAATTTAAGGTTTCTTACATCTGTTTATTCAAAATGAAGGCTCCTAAAGCTTACTTCCATATTTAAAGGTTCTAATGTTGTAGAGACCTTGGCAGCAACCAAGAGAGGATGAAAACCAAACTGTTTTTAAAATATACCCTATTGCTAGTATACAGTATACTGTAGTAGGAAGTTTACAAAACCAGTTATTCTGTTCATCAGCAAAAGGAGGGGGAAAGATCAATAAATAGTTGTGAAAGCCAAGGTATATAATAGCTTTTTGTAACAGTGTTCTCCAAAAACGTTCAATACAACTTATGGCTGGCATGATACTTACAGAAAGGTCTCAGCTGACAATAAGGAAAGATGGCTAAGACCACACTTCGAGAATTTCTGCATTTTCAAATTACCTGATTTCCTGAGAAGCAGAAGGGCAAAAGCTCATGTGATCTTGATCTTCAATGCAAATACAGACCATGAAAGTGGGGCCTCATAATCCTTCTGACTTTTTGGGTTTGAGTTCTGCTTCTGCTCTTCATCATAGAATACTGACGCAGTTCCAGAGCTGTCGGAGATTAACTGAGAGGTCTGGGGGAACATGCAGGAATCTTAAAGATGGGGAAAAAGGCAAATATGATACCTGTCTTGAAAAAGAGGAGCCAGGGAAGTACAGGCCAGACATCTTAGTATCAATTTCCAGAAATTTGTGGAAAAAATAAGCAAGCAAACCATTTGTAACCATTACAGAAACAGGTATAGGAATAACACTAGTACTGATTTGTCATGAACAAACAACTGATTTCTGTCTTGGCCAGAAAAATATTGCAGAAGAAGGGAGGAGCAGCAGCTGATGTGTACTTTGGCTTAAGTACATCTTCTACTGCTGTAGACTAGGGCAATTGCTGGCTGTCCAAGCTTTGGTTTTACCTGTGTTTCCAGTTACTAGTTCAGAGCAACGTTGGCAAAAGGTGAACCTTCTCACATTCCTGCCAAGCATTGTTCTCTCCAGTTACTACTCAGTGTCAGGTGAAACTTTATTTCAACTTTTTGAGCCAACTGAATCTCCATCAGAACTAGTCATTATTTTTAGCAGTCAGCTGTGCACATTACAAATGTGTTGTCTGATGCCACTCATTGACCTTGAAGAATTCCGAGTGTCTTTCACCCTGCACTCTCTGCCTCAGAGAGTCTTTGTAGTATCTCTGTACTGTCCCCTGGCTCCAAAAATGCACATTCTCCTCTCTAAAAGTGTTAGAAGCTGCACTCCGTGAAGTGTCTCTGTTAACTCTTCTATGATCACCATTGCAGATTATGTTAGATATTACAGTTGTCTTCTTATCCGTAAATGTTTTACTAGTAAAGAATTTAAAAATTAGACATTTTTTTAAATCCTGGATGCTCTGGGATCTACAATTCCCTAGTCAGACCTCATCCCTTCAGGATTTGTCAGTATTCCCATTAAGTAGTTCCTCTTGTCTCCTTTGTCTCTGCCCGAACAACCCATCTCAAATTTATGATTGTCTAATCCTTCTTGCCCAAACAAGCACTTTGCCCCTTTTTCAGCCAGCTAGAAAGTTTGCAAACTCTTACATTTTCTGAGTGCCCCTGTGTATAGAAGCCACGTTTCATCCTCACCCAGCAGGAGAGGATGATCATAACTTACAGCTCTGGGTGGCAACTTGGTGGACCCCTGACTTTTCATGTGATGTGTCCAGCACCCTTTTTCCAGTATGTCTGTTACCAGGAATAGAATGTAGTATGCCTAGAACACAAATTCAGAGTGCAAACCAGCTTTACTGCTGTCTTGTCCGATTTGGCTGGGCACTTACTGCAAGGAACATGTTAGAGATACAACAAAGGGACATCATACAGAAAGAAAGAGATGGTACCAGGTGAATATTGGACTCAGGTCCTCAGCAGTATTTGGCATTTAGTCCAGGCCATTAGAGATAGTGAGGTCATGTGTTTTCTTTATTTAGTAGCCTGTTTTGATAGCTTTCAGAAGAATCAAGACCAACAGCTGCTGGAACAAACATTCAGAAAGGTGTCAGAAATGATGGTAATGAAACTCCATTCCTATTGGGTGACAAGGAATAGGAGGTAATAAACTCACCTAAACTGTGTCCATGAAGATGGTGACTTCATGACATTAACCAGTCAAAAATGTCTCTGGAAGAATTGTCCTCTTTTTCATTCCCGCCCACAAGTTGGCAAGTTTACCTCCTGTTTCTTAAATAAACCATTAATCTCAGAGTAACCTTTTTGAAAGTGTACGGCTTGTAGATTTAATACAAAGCTTTGACTGGAAATGACAACGGCTTGTGGTGTACCCATGCAAATAGCAGCCTTCTTTGTCATGTTTGTTGTGTTCTAGATTTTCTTGAGACTTTTGAAGAGATGAAGAATCAGGAATTGGAGCGAAAGGCCCAAATAGAAACCAGCATTGTTGCACTCCTGGAGCACTCAAGCAGGGTAAGTGTATCTGCCTCCTCCAGTGGCAAGATAGGAAGTTAGAAGCACAGACCAGGAGAATGAATGATGATGAAGGATGGGGTTTTTTTATATATTATCCAGGCAGTATCTGTATAATAATCTCTTAAGAGGATTCAACATTAAACCATGTACAGCTGTAGTTTAAAAAAAAAATTGTCTTAATTTCTCTTTATTTCTGGGGAAAGATTTTCAAATATTAGATAATACTTGTGACCAGAATAAAATAAATGTTTGCATAATTGCTGTAAGTCATCATCACTGCTATAATGAGCGTTACTCCATTCATGATGAACGTTTCAGAATACTGCAAATAAAACTACTGCAGTGTTTTGTTTACCAAAAGTCTGTAAATCTCAGTTCATGGGTATTCTGTCACTACTATTAAGCAATTGGCAATATTCCAGTTATCTCTCTAATCTAATGAAATTATGTCTGGAATACCCTGATGTGAAATAATTAATTTAAAAGCTTTAGAAATTGGTCTCATTTGTAGTCTGCCATGTTTTTTGCACCTTCAAAATGTTTTCTCTTTGAACCTTTTTGATTCCCATGGATTTTTTTCTTACAGAAATCTTTCAGCTGAGTAATACTGATTATATCATCACTTTGTCTTCTAACTCTTTCAGTATGGGATACCATAAGTTATATTTTAGGCAGTGTCACTTCCTTTAGAAGAGATCGATATGGCAACACGGTTTATACTTGCTGCATTTTTGTTTCATTTTCACTGGCCTGTCAGTACTTCCTGTACCTGAAGGGGCTACAAGGAAGCTGGGGGGGACTTTTTACAAGGGCCTGTAGTGACAGGACAAGGGGTAATGGGTTTAAATTGAAAGTGGGGAGGTTTAGATTAGATATCAGGAAGAAATTCTTCCTGGAGAGGGTGGTGAAGCACTGGGACAGGTTGCCCAGAGAAGCTGTGGATGCCCCATCCCTGGAAGTGTTCAAGGGCAGGCTGGATGAGGCTTGGAGCAACCTGGTCTAGTGCAAGGTGTCCCTGCCCATGGCAGGGGGGTTGGAACTGGATGGTCTTTAAGGTCCCTTCCAACCCAAACCATTCCATGATTCTATGATTCTCCTTCTGTTATCAAAAGTTGGCAGAAAGAAAATCATTCACATTTTAAACACTTCAGACTATTTTCAGTCTTCGTAGTAGAAAAGCCAATAATAATGTACTAGGGCAGGAGAATTTTTCACTTGTCCAGTTACCATTTGTTGCTGAAAAAATACAGCATATTCTCATTTTTTTTATTGGTAACACAGAATGTGAATCGTATGAAACAAATTTCATCGGTTACCAATCAAGAGCTGAAGATTATGCAGGAAGACCTCACTTTTAAATCTAATGAAATGCAGAAATCACAGAGCACTGCTAAGAATCTGCTTACAGGTGAGATCAGCAAAGTCTTTTCAAATTAATTCCTTTAACAAAGTTAACTGAGTTGCTGCACTAGTAACAAGTACGAGATCAGTGATCTCCAAATATTAAAATACAAGTTGACAAACTGAAACTCTTGTGGGTAACAAGTTAGGTATATTCCTCAGGAGTATTTCACTTTCTATTACCAGGAAGCGATCAGCTTCCTTACACAGATATACGTTAAACAGATGTGTTTTAATGCAGGGGTACAATGTTCTTTGAGCTACAAGTTTGCCTTACATTCACCTTGAAATAAATGTTTTTCACAGTCCTCAAAGTGTGTTTAATACAGTGACGTAGAGGCTTCCACAGTTATCTAACTGTGTGTTATTTTTAAACGTAGCTCTTAGTGTCACTTGGTTATGGTTTGTGCTTTTCTAAAGGGGTGTGTACCGGGTGACAATAATTGTCAGCAACAGTGGAGAGCTCTCAGATTCTCAGGCTTTGGTCCTGCAAAGAGAATATTAATTTTGACTTCATTTTGGAAATACTCAAATACACAGAATTAAGTGTAATAATCTGCAGGATCTTGCTTGTAATTTCAAAAAGCAGACAGTATTTTTCTTTCACTTCTCTAACAAGTGTTTATTTAGTTCTTTATTTGCACTGTTTATAGAGGAATTGTTCTCATAATTCTAAGCCTTTGCCAATATCATTATTGGTTCAGCAAGCCTTTCCTTGTTTGTTTGGCTGAAAGGAAGGGGCAGGAATAAAGAACCATAAATCATTTAGTAGAAGGCTATTACGTGCTGTACTTGGTAGTAATTTTCAAAATAGGAGCTTGTGTTCTAACTTCAAAGTAGTTACGTGCAAGTAAGAAGTTGTTATGCACAGAATGGCACAGAAATTGATTGTTTTGTTGTGTGTTTGAATATTTAATGTTTGCTTGTCTGCAAATGACTCATTTTGCAGTTCTGGTGTAGTTTAAAAAGCTGTGCCATACATCACACGTTCAAATATGACTTCTTTTTCTTTTGAGTAAGCATCAATTCTTACTACGTTACAATATAAGGATGTTCTGGAAGCACACTGTGGCACAGAGACATCATTGAAACATGTATTTCTTTCTTCGCAAGGGGAGAGAAGGAAATTACAGCACATAATTTTCAGCAGATCATTTAAATGATTCGTAAGTAAACTTCTGAAAGCAAGGAGTCGCAGATACTGTAACGAACAACTTAAGATTCTTTCAAAAATAGAGTGAACGTTCAGTTTGGACAGTTGGAAGTTCTTCCTAGCAGTGGAATTACAGCACAGTCATCTTCAAGATCCTTCCGTCGTCATTAAAGTTCTGATTTCCGTATTTTCTTGCCGTAACAAAGATATAAAAAGTCCATCAGCAGAACCCTTGAAGAAAAAAAAATAAAAAGGAAACCATGAAGAGTAAACAAAAGTGCTGATGGCATGGTTTCCCAAAATCATTTCCCTGGGTCACTGTAGTTTGCTCTGAGGGTTTGCTGCTGTGTACACACTGCGGGCTAGACGCAGCAACTTCGTGGCGTATCAGAAGGAACTGGGCTGCATCCTCTTCCTGTCTCTTCCTCTAGAGAAGTTTTCAGGGGTTTTAGTTTTGATTTTTTTTTTTTTTTTCACTGAGGTTGTTTGTGGATAAGGATAAAATTCAGTCTTTCCCGTTTTTAGCCTTTTTCTCCAGAAAGTGTGAATGGATAGAAACAGCCCATGGCTGTCTCACATTAGCTTTTATCAGTGTATAGATACAATGATCCAAGAATCCTCTCTGGCATCTACGTGGTTATTACACTTTGCATGTAAAATAAATCCCAATTAGTCAACTGTGTGTTATTTTAGAATAATAAAATATGAATATTAGAACAACTATATAAAAAGAGAAAATGCTGTAGTTAGGCATAAGTAAATCCTTCAGAAAATCTAAAGTGGTTTTCTGCCATTTCTCTCCAATTTGAATAATTTTATTTTATAATTCTATTTTTTACTGCTTCTAAAGTTAAAGCCCTGATTTATTGAGGTCCCTGAGCATTTGTCTCTCTTTAAACCACGGTGCTGTAGGAACACGAGAAGTGCAGCTGCGGTCTGTTCAGCCATGTTTTAGGGTCTGACCTTCACCAATACCAGGAACTTCAAAGTGAAACTATGAGCAATTATGAAATATGATAGACACAGGGAAAGTGTTTTCTTAAGGCCTTTAGGGTGGAAGGCAGAATCAATGTTGAATGACAGACACACAGTGCAGTTCCAAACCTGTTATTTTTAAAGCCTCCTTTCACTGGTATGGAATTCTTTGTATTTATATAAATGCTGTTTTCACATACAGGACACTTTCAATCTTACCTTAAGATTCCTGAAGACATTACTAAAGCACCCTGTAGTAAGTCAGAAAGGTTGATTAAAGCCCATATTTCACTCTAAAAAATTAGTATATGACATAAATACACAAGAGGAGAGATGATTACCAAAATCTTCTTACGACAGGGTTTTGATCAAGTGAGATTTTCCCAAATATTTCTACAAAGGAAGCCATTCCCACAATTTTTGGGAAAGGTGAACTCTTCCTGTCCCATATGCGCATTCATTCCCTTCTCCCGTAAAGATCTCTACTGTCTTGGTTAAATTTGGGTAAAATTTCCTACCCTTTTCCCAGGCGATCAGCACAAATATGAGTGTGTGAGCAAAATACACAGTCTGTGCCGAGAGAAGGTTCTTTGTGGTGTGTCATCTCTCCCAGTAGCCCACTTTGCCTGATATTTTAGAGTGTAGAAAAAACCCTGCATGATTTGTGCCATTCTTCTGAGTTAGACACAGCTCTGAAACATAAAAATATGTATCCATGTGCTTAAATGTTCAGTAAGATGAAGAAAATACAGTGACAACACTGCAGGTCAGAAAACCATCCAAAATGGGTCTAGCCACATCTAGTCCTTCCACATTCAGGGTGGATGACTGATCCCCAAAACTGGATCAAAGGATATTTGTTATATCGTATTCTCCCTTAAGCATCTCATCTCTGAACAGTTTCAGTCTTTACATGTCTCCTCGTATAAGAATCCATCCATAATTCTAAATCTTTTCATTATCTGTATCTCCATTGTTTCTTTTTAATGGATTGTCAGAAGTAAGTGCTGTATATTGCAGCACACGCTCATTCTGTAAGCTGTGAGTTCTTACTCAATGGAGATGTGGAGGTGTTTTCCTGTACAGGGTGAATGCTTAAATCAAATTTGGTATTTACTCTCATAAACCTAAGTCTTATCGTATACAAACAACATAAATAAAAACATGCTGAAAAACTAACAAAAAACTTTTTTTTTTTTAATTATCTGCATTATTGCAGCCAACGTTTTATAAGGTATCACCACTGCTTTAAAACTTGAAGTTGACTGATGCTATAAAGAACTTTAACGATAGAAATACCACACTGTGATATAGAAAATCACCACATTTTCATTACTCTTGACATACAGAGCATAATACAGGAATTGTAATAGACAAGTCTGACTTACGGGATGATTGTGAAGATCAAAGTTTTTTCTATCACTCACACTAACATTCCCATGACTGTCAAATCAGAAAGATAGGCAGGAGCTGTTTGTATTGCGTAAGTGTAACATAAACCTTTACGTACTGGGAAATGTATTATGAAATAAAAATTCCTGTTAATTAGAGATCGTTTATCTGGTCATCTAGACAGTCAAAAACTGCAGATGGACCTGCAGAAGATGGAACTCTTGGAGGGCAAGATGGTTGATGAACTGGCTTCTCTTAAAGACAAAATCGAACAAACAAAAACGGAGTTGGAGGTCTATAATAATCTGCCAGCTCTGAAAGCGTCAGGAGAACAGAAGAAAAAGGTAATGAAAGGAATGAAACCAGGGATTGTACAGAATTTGTCTGGTTTGGGCACCTAATGGTGGTGAATCCAGGCCTGTGACTGAGTATCCTGACTGAATAGCTGAGAACTGGGCTTGCACACCAGTGGAAATGAATCCGAATGCTTCTGTGCTTATATGTGTGACTTTCTGACTCAGGACATGTAGCAGGCAGTCAGATGGCTGCCTTCGGACAACTTCATTCCACAAAATTTATTTTGGTGGTTCATCTGAATTTTTCTGCTGTAACTTGCAACTACCCATAAGTTTGAATTTAGCTGTCTAGCCACAGAACCCAAATAAAAAAGTCTATCCTACGTGTATTTGCTCTAAGACTCCACCTCGAGCACTTCCCATTTCGCATGTGATACATTTCCTACAAATTCTGAACATCAGCATTCCCATTTGTGCTGATACAGCACGGTCTAAGCCTGCAACTTGGTCATAACCATTGAATATTGTCTTTAGGACAACGCATGAGAGAAAAGCCTTGCTAGAGAAAAGCCTTGTGAGTTCTTTATGCATACAATCTTGTTCTGAAGGAAAGAAGAAGGAGCATCCTGAAAACTGAATTAAAATCATTTGTCTGTAGCCTGCAGCATTAACTCATCCATTAATCAGTTTTTGTTGGGTTTTTTTTCCAACTAGAAACTCCAAGAGGACAAAGAAAAATTAACAAAACGTAGTCATGCTTTCAAGAAAATAATGGAACACTTGAATACAGAGTATGAGACCCTAAAGAGAGAGCTGCAAGAGAATGAGACACATTCTCAGGTATAGGTCAAGCTGAGTACTGTCTGTTCAGTTGTCTCTATCATGGTGTTGGTTTCTCATGCACATGAAGCATTGTTGGGATGGAATCAGTTTATTCCTTATCAGGGAGTTTTCAAAGTTACGATTTTTAGATGCATAGCCACATTTTCTGTTTCCAAACAGAAGTTACTATCGTGCCAATAAATTTCTTGTAAGGTTTGGATTGCAGGTTTTCTAGGCAGAGGTCTTTCTGAGCTTAAAAGTTGTGTGAATCCTTTTTTAAGTGTTTGTACTAATCTTGCTCAGAATTCTCCCACGTCTGCCCTTCCTTTGCATAAGGAGTTTTGAGAACCAACTTAGCAAGAAACCATAGTAAAAAGAGAAAGTCAGTACTAATTAGACAAACGCCCTTTTGCTTTTAAAGTTATGGTGGTAAACTTTTTCTTGCAACCAGTACTATTAATTCCATTTCCCTTTTTCCAGCCTGTCTGCTTCTTGCAGACCACTGAACTTCTAGGGTTTGTTCAGGCCTCTTTCAACGCAAGAACTTTTGTATATGAGTATATTTATATTTACATTTCAAAAGTGAATCAAGAAAGAAGATGTTTATAAACTCTTGAGCAGCTTTGATTCTCCCATTATACACGCCCGTCAATTTCTGTCGTGTTGCCAACAGAACATTACTGGCATATAGGTTTGAATGCACAGCAGGAAAAGGGATAACCTGGAAAGAAGCCGGAAAATTTTCTTTGTGTTTCACTGATTTTTTTTGTTTCAGGTTGATGAGTCCTTTGCTCTTTAGGACTGTTACTTTTTCCTGATTTCCAAAGGTGATATTTGCATACGTTTAAGTTAACTTTCTCTGGAGCGAACCTCACGGAGCAGATGAGAGGGCATAGCTCTAAATGAGGAGATACACTTACACACTCGAAGCATATGGTCATGGTGGGCTAAACTGTAGGGTGACGATATAAATCCCCAAAGCTGCATGTCAAAGTCTGCAAGACTTCAGATACTGTATATTTTTTTTATGCCCAGATCAGATTCTTATTCCTAGAGATTATGTAAATCAGAAATGGATACTGTCCAGGCCAGTGCTGCTCTCTGCATCCAGGAACACAGCTGCATAGCAGCCACAGTGAAGAGAGTTAACTCTTTCCTTTTCCAGCACAGATACCCAGTCAGTGTTAAGATACTTGCATAATGATGCTAAAAAAGGTTATATAAAGTAGAAGTTGTACAGCATTTCTTCCGTTCAGTAAGATGTGGCAGTTCTGTTTCCATGTCTGCAAAAAGGATTTGTTTCTTTGCTTTTTATGTCATGAATGTCAATGTCATGAGGGTGAATAAAGTTGTATGTTAAAATAGCTGATTAGTTGACATGCATCAGGCGTTTTGAGGTACAAATAGCATTTGCGTATCTCGAGGGTTTGGGTGATTTTGCAAGCAGTCAGCTGTATGAATTGTGACATCCTAGGAGTTGCTGTAAAAATGCACTGAATATTTCTGTTGGTATATATAAGACCGAATTGTAAACCTGGGCTCCTTTACCAGCAGTACTGCATGCAGCAACGTCTACAGAGGGGACAGTAAAATTACAGTTGATCAGCAGTGTCGTGTCTTGGAAATGAATGACTGCCGTGTTTGCTGTGAACCAGTACACTAGAAAGTTGGTTCTTCACTGTACAATTTATTTTGAGTAATATAGTTACTATTTTCATATCTTCTAGCTTAAGAAGTAGCTAGCTTTTAAGTAAAAATTGCCATGTTTTCCTAATGTATTACCTTAGTTTCCACTGAAAGCTTGGTCTCGGAATGGTTTTCAGTTTTGGCATTTAAAAATAACATCTGCATATCTTGAAATGCAGAACCTTGAACAGTAGCATCAGAAAAACAAATATTATAAAACTGTATTGTAAGGAAGCAGCCATCGATATAATGTCCACATTAGTTTCCTGTTGATGCTGAAAGTATTGAAGAAGTGCCAGCACTTAACCCACACTCCTGCAATCTTCTCGCTGCAGCTCCGTTCTTATCACAGCTTCTGGCATCAGACAGGAAACTTAACTATGGAAGTAAGGAAGTTTCTCCTGTATAGCTCAAAGTCCAAGACAGTGTCAGGAAATATTGTATCTTTGGTGATTTTAGATCTTACTGATTTTGAGAAGAGATCATTTAAATGATGTGAAGTACAATGAGAATTAGTGTCTCCCTGCGGTGTTCACCTTCTTAACTTCTGACTTGCTTACACTTTTCTCTGTATGACACGCCTTGAATTCTCATCTGACTTTTTCCATCTACCACTGCAGTAGCATGGAGTACCTTTATAGAAACAGATGCATGAAATGCCACATTATATACAGGTTAATCATTGGCAGCTTTAAAAAATCATCTTGCCGTTGTTTCTGTGGGTTTTTTTGTGAAATAACTTTGATTTTATCAGGTGATAGAGTACGAAGTACCTATACAACCTTTTTTTTAACCTATGTAATAATTACAATTTTCATTTTTTGGCTCTTTTTGTGTTTTCAGCTTACAAATTTGGAGAGGAAGTGGCAGCACCATGAGCAAAATAACTTTATGATGAAGGAATGTATCCTTTTCTTTAAGAAATACAGTTAAGATTCACGCAGTGCATTAATTGAGGAAGAAGTCTGTTTCCTCCAGCAGAATAAGACAGGACGGAATGGGGTGCGGGAGACAGGGGAGGAGGGGAAAGGCCATGCTCTGCAAGTGTCTGGTTAGCTGATAGATATTATATATAGCAAAACTTGGATGTGTTGTCTGAAACAACTTTACAGGGTCCTAAGGCATAAGATTTGTCTTGCAGTCTGGGCTTTTTCCTGCTGGGTCAGTTTAACCATTAGGTTTTGTACAAAGATCATCCTCACATCTGTCCAGTCTTTCCAGAAACTACCCAGGAAGTGTAGCATTTTTTAAAAATCTGTATTGTGTGGTGACTTTGCGTGTTACTTTGCAGTTTTAAAACACCATAAATACTGATGATGAAGAAGTAAACAACAAATTGTATGCATTTAATGTATTTTTTATCAAATAAAAGAGGACTTGCATGTTGGAAGGGAAAAAAATGAGAGAAATGTGGTAAGATATGACGAGGAGATACTTTAGCTGCAAAATGGGCTGGGATGGGGGACGTGCATTCTCATTATGTGTGCTAGTTAAAGAGTGACATTGAGTTAATCATATAAGACCTTCCAAAACATCAGCAAAACCTTATTGGAAGTTTCTGAAATTAGCAAATCACTGAAGTTTTTTTACTTAGCATTGACGGTTCTTCTTATCTTGTACTATTCTCCATAGTTATTGTAGAGATCTGGGTAGGGCATAGTTGCACTTTTATTCTGTATTCCAGGGACTTTGAATTCACTGCAATAAATTCATGACTTTAAAATGACTTAGGAAACAAACAAATCTGAAATCTCAGATGCCTTGAATGACTGTTACGTGATCATAGTACAGATGTCATTGATAAAAGTAACGGCGAAACTAGACCGCATCATCCAGTGCTGTGTGTTAAACCGCCGGCGTTTCTGCATGTCTCAGAAGGTGGCACAAGAATATATTCCACCTAGCCATCAGGGAAAAAAATAATATAGGATCTGTGTGTAACGTTATCTTTTTCATGCAAAAATATCCCATTTCTTGTGTCTGCTAAGTGCTCTTATTCTTAGACAAAATCTGAGAAAATAAAAAGGAATGCTGCATCCTATTTTTTCTAACAGAAAAAACAGGAAAACAAACCAAGAGAAGAAGTTGCTCAGGCCACGAACAGTGCCCCTAACTGGCTACGATGTAGGGCCTGCCCGTGGGAAGCCCTGACACAGTGTCATGTCTGCCTGGGCTGGTGGAGACAAAGGTGCTTGGACTGGGACTGCTGTAGCCGGGGTTCCGAAGTGCCGAACTGTGTGGCTGTAGACAGCTGAGTGCCTTGCAGTGGTTTTGTTTGCCGTGTAACGATGGGCAGAGTCTTCTACGAGGGACCTACTGCTCCTGAGCTAGGTGAATCAGATAATCTAAGACTATATATATATATATATATATGAAAACAAGACTGACGCAGGCTTCTAATCTCTTTTTTTTTACCATGCTTGACATAAGGTGGCAGCTAGCAAATGGATGTAACTCTTTTAGACCTGATTTTGACTTTTTCCATTATTTGCAACCCTTGACAGTTTTCATAGAAGGAAATTTACTGTATTGTGGTTCCCTTATGATCTGTAATTATGTTAATATTTATCCTGGCAGTTTGTTTCCTTAATTCTTCTAATCATCAGTCATAGCAACAAAAAGTCAGGAGAGTGACTACCAGCCAATAATGAAGAACGTGAGAAAGCTGATCACGGAATACAACAAAGCTCTCATAGAAGCTTTACAGAACACCAAGAACTGAACCCGGGCACTTCCTTCCTGTCCCAGTGGGCCAACAATGGGAGATGTGCACGGGCAGCATGGAAAGCTGGACTACTGAGCTCATGCGCTCACCACTACAGCAACAGAAATTCTTAAGAGTATTTTTCCAGGTTTTTAGAGTCACAGGTTTGAATAGTATCCCTCCTTTTGCAATGTTTAAAAATTTTAGAAATAGACTTCTGAATTTTAGAAAATGGTAAAAATAAAAAGGAAATGCTGCACAACGAGTGTAAAATCATCAGAACGTTTTACTGAGGCCCGTTGCTGGACTGCATCTCAAATGTGCAGCCTCAGTCTGCTTCACACAGTGAATCCCTAACAGTCTCGTAGTCCTGTCCCTGACAAACAGAATAGGAGTTTTCCCTGAATAAGGACTGTCTGACAGGCTCTCATATGCATTATCTTAAATGAAGTGGTTGATAAGATAAATGGTAATAGCAGCGTACCATCCTTACATAAATAGCAATTTCCAACAAGTAAGGGTGACAAGCATCCTTCTTAGTCAGACCTGCTGCACAGTATACAGCCATGCTGTAAAAGCAAACGTACTTGTGATCTGTCAGCATACTTTCATGACTCGATGGAGAGCTGATTGTCTTCCTTATTTTACATTTTTTGATGTAATTGTAAGGAGAGAGGACTGTGATAAAAACTAGTGAAACACAGCTAATAATGACCTTGCACAGAACATTTTACTTTTTTAGTATTCACCAATAAAAGAATTGAAAGGGAATGTTACTTGTATTTTCTGCAATGTTCTTTTTCCTCAAGTTTCGAGGTGCAGTGTCAAATGCAACCTGTACTTTGACAAAAATATACTGAGATTCAACATAGAACAAAACCAGGACTGATACAGAAGTTTCAGGGTGCTTTATGATAGAGAAATTTCAGAAAACATTGTCATGAAACAAAATGTCTGTGCTTACACTTCCCTCACATTCTACATGTAATGTGATTACAAAATACCTACCTATTCATTTTAGGAGATGGATCATTTCCTCCACCTGGTACATTGTAAGCTAGTCCTGACCAAAGACAAAAAAGAACAGTTGACTACAGATAGGAATCTTAGCCAGACAGTAATCTAACCTTTTACAAAAAATTAAAAAAACCAGCAGGGTCTGTATTTATAGTTGTTCTGTTCTCCTAGAAAAGTTGTCCAAAAAAGAAGTAGACTACATGCTTCACTTCATAGAACTGGAGTTAGAAGAACAGGGAATTAGAAAATCCACCATGTCCATTAAAACACAAGTTCTGTGTTTTCATGCCTGTTTCTCCAAATCTGATTGTCATTTTGAGTGTAAAGAGGTGTGTAAAACAAATGTTGAAGATCCTCACAGAGCACACAGTGTTTCCAATTGAAGTAAACGCTGCTGCTCTGTGTGTTTATGTCTGTATAATATTTAGAGATAATGGAACAGGATTCCTATAAACCAAGGACTGTTATCTAGGGGAAATTCCCACTAATGTCTCTTCCTTCCTGTCAAAGTTTCAGCCGTTCCAGAGAGAGCCCATTATTTGCGGAGATACAGTTGAAGTCTAATATTCTCACCAATCAAACCATCAAGCGGAGAGATTGCCTCCTGAATTCCACTTGTGGTACAATAACATATTTTAGTGAACAATGGAAAAAAGCTGCAGACTGCATAAACAGACTGCTTTAAACGCACTTTCACTCAGGGCAGGAGATGGTTTTATTCCTTGGTATGGATTCTATAGGCTAGCATGGTAAAGTTCACAGGATTTTGTTGTGTTCCCCAGGAGAATCCTGCCAGAAAAGCACTCTCTGCAGTGCGCTGCTCTTTTCCTTTTTGGATTGAAGGATCTCCACGTTACCTGTCTCTGTCTGAGAATCTCGTCAATCGTTCCTTCTTTTAACAGTTCATCCTTATGGTGCTGGATTATGCTCACAGTGCCCGTAGCTGAAAAGATCCGCAGGGATTCTGAAGGGTGAGTTACGCAGCAGGCGGTTAATGTCCCTCCAGCAAATCAATACCTCATTCCCAGTAGCGAGCTGAGTAAACTGTATCCATACCTTTCTCCTAAAGTCTCAGTGGAAAGAAGAGTTTCTTTACTGCCTTTTATCTTTTCTTTTATTACAAGTTTGAGCACCAGGCACTCAGCAGTATTTCACCACAGCTCCTGTGTGTATCTCAAGACACGTAATTCAGTATTGCAGGTCTCTCTGCCCAGGCAATCCTGTATGCATTGTACACTATGACTTCAAAGAAAGATGTTAGTTAAGGATATCGACCGGTTGGAGCGAGTCCAGAGGAGGCCATGGAGATGCTCCGAGGGCTGGAGCCCCTCTGCTATGGGGACAGGCTGAGAGAGTTGGACTTGTTCAGCC